CAGCGTTTTCATATCTACTTTTAAGGTTTTACCAATTCTGTCCCAAGTCTAGAGATGAAATTGTTATTGTAACAATGCATTGGAATATTAGGAATTCTTACCTAGGTGGCTATTCTTCCTAGAGTATTTTGGTACGGATCAAAGTATGGTGTCCATTTTTGAATAAGAACGCAGTGTTGTCGCACAACCCAGGGCCCTTCATAGAGCACTTTTTTATAGTGAACCATTTCCTGCTCTTAATCCTTAAATCGAACCACATATTATTTGGAAGGTCTATCAGTTCAAATGTTCTGATCTCCCATAAATTACTTAGGTATTCTTTCAGATCATAAATGCCAAACCTTTTTCCAAGAACTATGAGGATCAAAGCTCTGTTCCAAGGGTGCACCACTCGTTGAACTCGTCCTGGGTGATGGGGACTTCCAGGTAGATCTGTCTGAGTCTCTTTATCTCCTCAGATGGTTCTGGAAGAGTCCACGTCATCTCATCATCAAGCATAGTGTCATCCTCTCGTTCAAAATCATTTCCATTAGCCACTCCATTATAACCAAGCAGAGAGTCCCTGTAGCATGGTTGAGGTTGTTCCTGCTTGCGTTTAGAGTCGCCATTGCTGGGTTCAACTCCCTGTGCTTGAGCTACACAGTTAGATTCACACGTATTATTCATAGAATCATCCGTAGGACAGTCCGCGATGGTAGCATCAGCATTGCCTTTAAGTTTTTACTTCTTAGCATCGTGACTATCTTCATCTTTATGCCGGTCCGGTGGGATTTTCCGATGTTGGTGGTCGTCCATAAGAAAACAAACACTCAAGGCACGCGAAGCAAGAGAGAGAAAAGTCCACCTCTATCAATTCGCTCAAGTCTTGGCCGAAGCCTATGTCCTGCGTCGTCCAACCCTTAAACCCTTATTTGGGCTTACGGTATAACTAACTTGATGATTAACGACAACTAACATTTGTTTGTGAACTATTTAATATTCCAACAAAAATAAAAACGTATATACAATGTGTACTGGGAGGTACTATTCTATGACCATATTTTTAGGGAAGCTTTGTATATTATCAGTGCTAACTAGTTGCACGTAATATTCACTTTTCTAACTATCAGACGAGAGTTATTATGAAACTTCCCATGAAGTATTTTGGTATAATGGACTATAATCTTATCAATAAACTCATGGATCTAGGTTGACCCTTGTTGTTTTTAACCTCAAGCTTTTTATGTAACGTAACAACTAATTTTTCAAAGCATTACTTAACTCACACTACCATGCTAAAAAAAAAAATCAATATAGTAGAAAGGTTTATACCAATTAATAAAAGACAATTATGGTACCCAAAAAAAAAAAACAAAGATAATGATAAAGGTCTGCCATAATTATAAAAGGATCAACTTTATCAATGCAATTGTAAATAAAACCTGACCATGTATAGTGGAAATGATTAAACCAATAATTGAAAGACTACCATGCATGGTTATAAAGAATTTCACATAAATCTCAAAACATTAGATATTATCCTATAATGATATAAAATAGTCAACGATGATATATAAGAACGAACTTGATATACACAATTTATAATCACAAAACATGGGCTAGGGCTCAATAGAAGTCCAAAAACATGCATGTCACTTAGAGCCCACTACATAATAGAGTTCAAATGACATTGCCCAAATTACCAAATACTTTCTCAACTCTTAGCGTATATAATTCAACATTAATTAGAGGGTATTAATTAAACCAGTAATTAACAAACAAGATATAGAATTAATCATAAGCATGTGTATTGGCCTTAAACAAGCAATATGCAAAATTCAATACAAGACCTCAAGCCTCAACTTGCTTCTTATACTCTCCCAAGAACCCTTACCTGAAAATATTAAAACTATAATAATAAAACATAAAGTCACCGTTAATTTACACAAACATATAAGGATAGTTTATAGTTAATTAAGTGGAATTAATAATTCAAGAATTATCATTTAATTCAGGCTTTCAAATCACAACTATCTTAATCAAGTACGTTTATAAAATATATTGTCAAAAATAATGTCAGTTCATAATTGAGTTAATTTACACTAGTTTGACTTATTCAAGTTTTGACTACGAGTCAGATTTGAAGATATAAAACAACCAAGATAAGAACATTCTGTATCTTTTAGTGCACCAATTAGGTACCGCATGAATAAAGCCTCATTCCAATGTCACCTTTGCCATTTCGTCTAATCCATTACGTTCACTATCACTTTACTGTCGAAAGTGCAATCAAGCGATAACAGGGTTGAAATTCCCACCATCCTTGACTTGGCAAGTTTTCTTTCTGATTTCCTGGCATAATTTGCGGAGACAAAACAAAATGAACCTATGGAGGTGTAATGAAAAAAGTTAATCACTTATAATTTAATGAATCAATGTTTAAATCTTTATTAAAAGAGTTCTCCATATTTAAATTTAGTGTTGACTGTAACTCAAATAAAAATGCCTCTAATAAAAGCATATATTTATGAATAAAAAAAAAAAGAAAAATATACTTACAAATTTTTACAATTTCACTCAATTTTAAATTGGATTCCAGCAGTTTATTTTGTTCAAAACTTAATAATGAATTACTAAATTTTACAAAACAAAAAATGCTCTTGGAGTTTGTAAAAAAATTAATTTAATACTTTTAGCCAAAATAAAAAAATTGATTTAATCCGCTATTTATAATTTTTTATGAAAACTCTACATGTATATAATATAATTAAAAGACAACTTGATTATATAAATTTTGAGTTATAAAAATTATGTAATTAATTCTAAAGTTATAAAATCATCTAATAAAAATATAAAAGTTCTTAGTTTTATTTTTTAAAATAAAAAATGTAAGGATTTTAACTTGAGGGATTAAAAAATTTAATTGACACGAATAAGTAAGAAAGAAATGAAAATAACTATCTAGTTCAACAGCATCGACACGAGCAAGCTATTAATCATGGCCTTCCTCATTTAGTATCAGTATCCGTCAAAGTGCTATGCCAAGCTAATTAACATTATTGTCCCACAAGTTTATATTGGCATGCAATAATTCTTTTCAGAGAAGTGATGAAAGGCCATATCTTCCCATTATATATTTATACCAAAACATTAAATTCCTCATGAAAAATTAAAAATGATTGATTTAGGGAGAATGAAATTTAAACCTCTTTTAAAAAAATTTATCACAATAAGAACTTATCAGTGTGAAAACATATATATGTTATTTTTTGTTAGGATTTCCTTAAAATTTTAATAAAAATATAAATTAAGATTTATTTTTTAATAATAACATATATGCATTTTCACACTATAATATCCAATGCAAAATTTATAAATAGTTGTTGCAATAAATTTTTTTAGCTTTAAATGTCATTCTCCCATTGTGATAAGTATGAATATCAATTAAATTTTTTTTATTAAATGTGAGCTTTAAAATGTCATTAGCTTATTCCAGTTTTGAAAATCAAATGGATAAGAATAAAAATTTTCAAATTATAATATCAGAATATAGAAACATCCTTGCAAGGGCTACTAGCCATTGATACGTTTTCTTTTTGGGACTTCAAAGCTTCAAGTCATCAGTTGACTTTTGAAGCATCAAGTCCCGGTTATCCAAAGACCTATGAGCCGTTGATCTGTCTCACGAGCGATGTTTTTTTACTTTGCACCAAAGTGAAATGGTTTATTGGCCCAAAAAAAGCGAAAAAGGTTTAGATTCAACGTGGACGGTTTAGATTGAACAAGGCCAAATTTGCCTTGCTTTCTTTGCGCACTCTTTGAAGTTTCAATTACAATAAGTTATCTTCCCATACCTAATCTTGTAATGTCGAACGAGTGGTCCAAACCAAAAGAAAGATTAAGTTCTGCACCATTAACCCAATTTAACTTTGAAAAAAAAAATTGCAGTTAGGTCTTAAAAAATTAAATTAATAATTTTAGATTTTAATATTTTTTTAAAATAAGTTAAAAATATCATTCAAATAATTATAAATTTAGATATTTTACTTACAAATAAAGAATTTAATTTTCAATCTTTTAGATATAACTTTCAAATTGTAATTAGAATCCTTGTTTGTGTGAATTGATATTTGTAACTCATTTAAAAAAAAAATTCGTTGGTATCTAAATGTGTCAATAATTTAATCATCTAGAATATAACTGTCATTGTAACTTAACTTTTTTATACTATTTTCAATGCTAACTTGGGCAGGGTTAAGTGCTCTGTTTTTTTTTTTTTTTGATAGAAAATATTTTTAATGTGGGACTCATTTATATGTTAGTGTCATCGCTACTAAGAAATTTTTAAGTGAGTTCAAACTTCAAAGTTTTCTACTTCTGTCATTTTAGTGTTAGGCTGTGAGCAATTGGATACCCATTTCATTACTCCTTTTTTGAATATAGTTTAGTAAAGGTGTTAACAATATTGTACCAAATTAATGCTAATGTAGTTCATTTCTCACACTCCTACACACAGGAAAATATGTTTAACAATATTGAGTGAATGGCTTTGCTACTGAGATATAAATTACTATTTAACTTCACTTGGTCAATGAAATTGGAAGTTTTGTTGATTACAATTGATGTTGACTAATTAATTGAATTGGACACTTGGACTTAAAAGAGCTCTTATGCGCAAAATTAGACTCTAGACACAAATTATTGTTCAGAGCAAAATATTTGGAAACGTCTTTTTTGGATTTTCGATAATTTTTTTTATTTTGTATCTTATAGTCCAAAATAAAGTTTGGTTAGCAAGTTTCAATTACATATAATTTTTGTTGTTAACCATTAGACATACAACTTTAACTACATTGACACGCTATATTTAAATGAACATGAACAAGTTTACTAGTTTGATATATTTGACAAGCACAAATTTTAATAGGATGATAATTCTCTCATTACCACATTACTGGCTACAATACATACACTTGCAATTTATGCGTGATGGCAAACAAGTAGAAGCATTCTTGACTCTATTTTGGCATTGGCAATAGCTTTGTATTTTATCATCTTTCGTTATTTGGTATTCTCAAATACAATAAATTAATCTAGCAAAAATAAATAAAAATAAAGAATTATGGACAAACACCTAGTCATGTTTATCGAGCACTTATTGTAGTATTTGAAACATTGTTTACAGAGGGATCCCCAGATGTTGAAGACTCTGAATGCTCTATGTTAGAATTGAATAAGAAGGCAGGTTTTCGAGGTGAGGGAAGGGTTACTTCATTGCCAAGCATGAAAATAACTTCCAACATGGATGGCCTATATAAGGCACTTTCTTGCACACACAAGAGCCCAATTTGTATACACCTTAGGGCTACATCAAGAGGATATGATTCACCAAGTGTTGAATCCACTATTTCCAAGGCTTTTCCTTCTCTCCACAATTCCCATACCTACAAATCAATGAGGCCACCATAATTATAAAGAAAAATGACAAAGAAGCAGTTTCTAATACTTTCAGGTTAAACATTAGAAGAGATGGGAAAAAAACCAATGATGTTTGAATGTTATCCTTGTAGGTTTCTTTAGTTTTACCTGTCCAATTAAATTTACTGATGCTCTTTCTTCATGACAATCTGTATTTCTTTTGCCACTAATAATCTCTAGCAATAGAATACCGAAGCTGAAAACATCAGACTTTGTAAATATTGTCCTACCATTGCATATTCTGGAGACATATAACCACTGTAATTAAAAAAAGTAGTTATAAAAATATCATAAAAGTCAATTATTTTATTTTAAAATGAGTGAAAGAGTTTTGAGCTTACTATGTCCCAACAATTCGTCTAGTTCTTGCTTGGACTTGATCTTCTCCAAATATTCTTGCCATGCCAAAATCTGAAATTTTAGGATTCATTGTAGCATCTAAGAGAACATTACTGGCTTTGAGATCTCTATGGATTATTTTCAGCCTTGAATCTTGATGAAGATAGAGAAGACCTCGAGCAATTCCAAACATAATATGAAAACGTGTGTCCCAATTTAATGACATTCTTTGATTCCTATCTGCAATGAACCACAAATGCTGCTTAACCTTGAAAATGATGGGAAACTAACAGAGCTATATCAAGATGATATACAGATTAAGTATGATATGATAGGTTTAGGAATTCAAGGCTATATGATATTTTTATATATGTAGGAAATGGTATTTTTAAGCATCGAATCTTAGCTTCCTCGAACCACAATGTAATCACATACAACTCTTATAATTCTGATAAAAGTTACGTATTATAAGAGGGCCCTGATACTGATTGGCTACATATGAAAACTAATTATGTCCTCGATTCATATTAAGCATAAATGCTTTGAGCCGTTTAATTGCACTGGCCCTAAGCATTTGCTTAGTTTGAGAAGAATATGTGAAAAATCGTATGTAAATGCCAAATTTGGTGAATTGACTAATTACAGGTATAAATCAATTTATTTCAGTTCTCTGGTTTACTGAGGTATGCAAATTGATAGTGTGCGACATTTGAACGCAATATCAGTTTAGAGAAAGAGGAGGAGAATAGCACATACCAAATAGAAAGAAGTTCAAGCTTTTGTTGGGAAGATACTCATAGATCAACATCCTTTCTTCTTTATGAATGCAATATCCTACCAATTTCACAAGATTCCTGTGTTGTAGTTTTGCAATTAGTTTAATTTCATTCTTGAACTCTTGAGTCCCTTGTCCAGAATCTTGGGACAATCTTTTTACAGCTATCTCTTGTCCATTAGCTAATGTGCCCTGAGATATCAAGATAGTCATATGTAAATACCAATATATTATATAAGAGTATACCAAGTGTCCTTGTGATACTATCCATTAATGTGATTGCGGATTTTTTTCCTTTTAAACAAGTCATTTGTTTTTTCAAATCATGCATGATTTAAAAAGAAAATATTGTGTTTATTCCCATGCAAATGCACATGACTAAGGCTAGTTATACTAATACGTTCAAACCAATCTGCCTTAGAGTTACATCACATTACCAATTGGATAGCAAGGAGATTCTTCAGCATTTTACGTACCTTGTATACAGAACCAAATCCACCTTGCCCTAATTGATTCTCATTTGAGAAATTGTTTGTTGCAGTCATTATGGTTTTGATGCTGAAAAATGGTAAGCTTGGTTGTGCCCTGTTGTCACCATGGTCCTCTTGATCTGTTGGGGAATCTAATTTTAATTCTTGTTCGGCTATTTCATCTGGAATAAGCACAAATTAATAGGGTGAAATAGCTTAAAACATGTACATAAGTAATATTAAGAGAAGAGAAAAATGAACTTTAAAACCCTTTATCAAAAAGGGGGGGGGGAAATCAAGACTAATGCTTTAAGAATTAGATTAGGTCATCACTGGACCAGAGTAAACTTGTCTGTGTTCTGTTTTCACCATGCTCCTCTAGCAGTTTTGCTATTTTAGCTAATCAATTATCATAAACTTTTGAATTTTGAGCACACAGAAATTACGATCATCATTTAAAAAAAATGAAGCTTTGCTTTTGTAAGAAGATACAAATAGGAATAAGAACAGAGTTTTGTACTGTATCACAGAGTCAGAACCTTACTCTATAAGACTAACATCTAACCATGTTAACTTGTCTAATACTCTCTCTGGTCCAAAATATAAGCAGCTTTCAACAATAACCTGCATCCCAATACAATTCTTATTATCATGAAAATAAATCTTGTTTTCCCTTTTTACTCTTAGTTCCAATTGCCAATGATGAGTGAGAAGAAGGTAATAAATTCACATAAGAATCTAAGTTAATAAAGACAATAGGTAAAATGGGGGGAAATTTTTACGACGACTAAGTTGCTTATGTATTGGACCAAGATTAGCTAAAAGAAAAGGCGTATATTTCTACCGGATGGAGTATACTTTAAAATACTTACAAGTTACAGAACATGATAAAACAAAAATAAATTGGCAAAACAGTAACGTTTGGTTCTGGTGTTGTTTTGGATCATATCAATACCATTTCATGAAAAGGAATTAATATAAGTGAAAGAACATCAACAGAACAGACTATAAGGCAGCAAGAAATTAAATGACATGAGATACACACCTCTTCTTTTCCTGTTCCAAAAGAAGTACACAAATAGGGCTGTAAGAAGAGAAATCAATGTGACACAAGCTGTTACAATTCCCACTTTTCCAGACTTAGCAAGTGCTGCCTTTGATTTCCTAGCATATTTTGCTGAGAAATGTAGGAAGAAATAAGTCTTAAAGACAGAGAGAAAAGGAGAAAAAACAAAGGAAAATGCTGGTTGGAGAAGAAAAATAAAGAAAAGGATTGCAATTACCAAGTTCAATAGCATCAACACGAACAAATAAATCATGCCCTTCTTGACTTAAAATCTGTGTGTCCATCAAAGTACCATACCATGTCAAGCATCCACTTCCACCATTTCTCACATCCGCAGCTGCATAGGAACTACAAGAACAGTTTCTCAAGCACTCTTGCTCACATTCTTCCAAACTCATCTCCATATTAGCATTCGCTATAGATGTATCAGGAATCTTAACGCTTTCTACTCTAACAAAGCCTTCTCCATTCCCACATAAGGGTGGTCCTTTCTTTCTCACACAACCCTCTGTCGCATCGCCATGTTGATACCAATTTGTTGGATTTCTTGGTTCAAATCCAGGCAGGCAAGAACACTTGAAATTTGCATAGTTAAGAGGATCACAGTTGCTGTTAGTACCACAGGTTCCATAGTTGTCACAATCTACTTCTGGTCCAGACCAGTATCGATTCCATTGTTGCTTATCAAAATCCCATAAAAATGTTTGAAAGAATCCAGATTGAAGAGCCACCACCCGCATGATGACCGTCTTGTCAAAAGCGTAAAATATGAATCCGACCTCATTATCGTTGTCCGTGACATTAATGCTGTAATCAGTGGATGTTGCTCGTTTCATAAATGGGATACCTACAAATATTTCGCCATTAAAGGATCCTGCTCGCCACACTGGAACATTCTTCTTGTATGCAAACATCTGAGCTTTCCCACTAGTGTTGAACCTAACTGAGAAGCTTCCTGTTCCCGGATCATCATCTGTCTTCCATGCCTGCAACGACCAGCTCTGACCAGTTCTTTTGTTAACTCCAAGTTTGGCATATGGAAGCAAGGTATCAGTGGGATGATCAAAACTCTGCCAGATAACAGTTTTGGAGTTGTTTTGAGTCAAAACAAGGTTACCCAAATCTGTAAGTTGAGCCACAACTCTTGCGTTTGGAACAGTGACAGAAACATTCGTAGACCAGATGGGCATGTCAGAATGATTCTGATGAAGAATTAGATTTCCATTTGAGCTGATGGAAAGAACTCCAGAGGTGTCATTCATAGGATCATCATCATTCATAGGATCATTTCCATTTGTCAATGGTTATGGTGGCAGAAGCTGCACAAAAGAAGCTGTGATGGATTATGAAAGAAAAAATAACCATCCCATTTGCTATCCTCATTATCTGGCGACTTGTCCCATACCAGATTTTTGTTCAGAGAAGTGATTGCAGGCTCTGCCCCATGCCCACACCCTACTTTACCCACCTAGAACTACCAGTGCTGACATAAAAATTCGTTGTTACAACCAGTGATGATAAAAGAAATAAGAAAGCAAGAAAGGAAACTATTGTAACAGCCAGTATCATGCGTGTGTGCATATATTATAAAGACAAATTAATTGATGAACAAGCGGATAAGTTCGTACAAATTAGGATCTCTTGAACGGTTTTCCTCAACTTTTTAAGCCTGCGACCAAAGTGAAAGGTTTAGTTTTCCAATTAAATAGTCAAATAAAACCGCTTTGAATTCAACATGGGTGGGTCATATATTAGAGCCAGATTAAATGTGTTTTTTCCAACTTTCTCTCCATATTCCTTGAATGTCGGCTTCTCAAATTTCTTCCCATATCTTATCTTGTAATGATGAACAAGCGAACCCAAAGCTAAAAAGTTGTCTCACCTTGCGTTTCAAATTGAACCAGAGCTGGACCATTTACACAATTTAACTTTTTAATACTTTTCTGAATTCTAATTGTAATTGGTCGGATTAATTAAATCTTTTTTGAGTCGGTTGCCTGAATGATAATAGGTCAAACCATACCAAGCTGACTCCTTCATTCACGATCTGGTCTTTTGCTGTAATCAGAATTCCAATCATATAAAAGTTCTCATATCAAATATTTTCTAGTTTCGCATTCTTTTTCCTTCTGGACCTTCGTATAGGACACTTGGACAGAGTTAAATGGATAACTTTTCTTAGGTTATATTTAATTTATTTGGCAGTGTCATTCCTGATAAGAAATTTTTTCAACAGATTGCGAAGTTTTTCCTGTCTGACTATCGTGAGGTTGTGAGCTATTGGATATCTATTTCCTCACTCAACAAGAACAAACGAGGATTCCTTAAAACGGTCTGATTTATCCCTGTAGGGTTAATAATTAGTAGTAAACTAATTCTATTTCTATTTCATTCATGGTTTTTTTTTTTTTATATCAACCTCCGAAACAGACAAGAAAAGACAGAAATGCTCAATAACGGAACACAATCATGTACTTTTGGATTTTGGAACTTACCCTAGTACATGACTTCAAGCAGGAATAATGATTCATGAAAAATTATGATAAAGGTTATTCTCAATGTACACGGTGATTCCTGGCCCCAAAGAAAAATGTACTTGGTGATTAGTAGCAAGTGAATCACACAGAGAGAGTGAAGTAATGTATCCATACACTAATACTTGTAAATTGTAATGATGACGTCAACCCACTTCCACTCTTCGAAGTTTTGACTGTAATATATAATCAAAATCTGTATCAAGATATGCTATTCGCCAACCCCCGTGCATTTCTTAAACTCCTAAAGTTCAAAGAAAAATGTATCTAGTTAACATCAACAATAACCGTAACCAAAAAAATAAAAAAAATATAATAATAATAATAATAATAATGGTTTGAGAGCTAAAAGCAGTTTTACCATTTATCATCCTCTAATGCATCAACTATTACTTTATAAGAAAATCTAGCACTGTACTGCGGTTACCCTAACAGTGCTGTGCCTATTAATGATCAGAAGCTACAAGCTATTTTGTGTCGGCTCAACTCAGATGATTGAAAATCAAATATGAGAATTTGAAATTTGATTGAGTCTCAAAACATTTGATTTAGTGCGAAGCAACAGATTCAAGCTTTAGGTAGGTGAAAAACGTTTTGGTGCAATCAACATCTTCCAGCAAAGCACTGATGATGAGCAGTCATCTGATGTTGAAATCATCACGTGATGAAAGACATAAAGATATTATAATATTTACAGTTGTGCAGAATGACTAAACAACTGTAAAGCATGAAATTAAAAAATGGTTAGTGGTATGAAATTTCGAAGATTGATTGATTTTTTGCTCCTTGTGTGTGCGTGAGTGGCTTCAATGTTCCTAATCTTTCTCACCAACATCTTCCCAACAGAAAAGGGTTTTGCTGGTCTCGATGATCTATAATCCTGAATTACGTGTTGGATGTTGATATGACAATAGTTTTAAGGTTATTCTGCAATAAAATAACTGTAAATTGCTAGAGGTTTCAGGTACATTAAATGAACTAAGGAACAAAAAAACATATTTACTTCCTTGAATTAAGCACAAATTACAATATCTACTGGTTCTTATAACCTAAAGGTCTTGGATTATACTCTCTCCCGTTACTATAAGATGTTTTAGGCTCTTTTACGTAGACTAAAAACAACTTATATAAATTTATTTGTTCAAAAACATTCAAGCATTCCAATTATACCATTCGTCTTTTTTTTTTTTCTGAAACATATTGTAAAACTTTAGCTCAAGTCACGAGACTACTATTAAAATTCTAGGAGTAAAAATGGAAGATCGTTTGATATTTTAACACCTTATAAATTGGACCAACTTTATCTTTGAGAAGACACCTTGTATAGGGGACTAGATAAGATGCATGCATGAACCGAGTCCAATTTGATTTAACCGAAGTAATCACAACTTTAGTACCATTATATACAAAAGCTTTAATATTTATTGTTTTGCATATTACCTTGATTTTCCCTCTTCATAAAATGGTGTTATAGTCCATCCTATTTGTCTTCCAAAAAGTAGACAGGGCCCTCGAGTTATACCTGCTCCAACCGAAGACCTTTTTTCCCCTCGATATTAACTAGTCCACTTAAAAAGCATAGATCCTTCCACAACAGCTTTTGAAATAGAAACAGTAAAAAGATGAATTTTTCCTCCTAAGAAGCAGAATGAAGGTTAAAAATTCTCATGGAGGAAACAAAGTTCTTCACCCTCTTCTTTCTTGGCACTTTTTTTGTTTGATATCCTTGTTTTCCAACAGTTTTGAAAGCAAAGGATTCCATAACTTCAACGCATTCCATCACTGATAGCCAGACACTAGTTTCCTCTGGTGAAAAATTTGAACTTGATTTCTTCAGTCCTGGCAATTCCAGTTTGAAACATCTGGGAATATGGTACAAGTATATCCCAAAGCTTACTGTTGTTTGGGTTGCAAACAGGGACAATCCACTTGTGAATTCTACTGGCACTTTAACATTCAGCAATGACGGTAAGCTTATCATTTTCAGTCATAGAGGAGGTATCACATGGGCTGCGAACTCATCCAGATCAGCAAGGAAACCAGTAGCTCAGCTTCTAGACTCTGGAAATTCGTCTTGAGAGACCTTGAAGATGAAAGCTCTGAGAGCTACGGATGGAAGAGTTTTGATCATCCAACTGATACATTTATTCCGGGAATGAGACTTGGTTGGAACTTCAAAACTGGGTTGAACAGACATTTAACCTCTGGAAAAGACATGATGATCCTTCTTCTGGAGAGTATACGCGTCATGTGGACCCACGTGGCCTCCTCAGCTTCTTCTTCAAGGGAAGAAGGTCTTCAGAAGTGGACCATGGTTTGCACAACAACTCAGGTGATCCAACTCCTATATATATAAATTATAATTGAAATAAAATAAAATTTGAAATCGTATATCTCTCTCACACACACACATAAGTCATAAATTAAAATAATATAAAAGACTAATGTAAAGTGTAAACAAATATCTGGAGTAGACAAGTAAATCACAAGAAAGCTCTTGGAGGTACAGGAGCAATTAGTTGAACAACCACCACAAGCATGGTTGCCAGAAAGATTAATGTTGCAATTAATAAATTCAATGCATCCTATAATTCTTTGAACCCACACCACATCAAAACCCTTTTTAAGCAAAACCTCCCTCAAAAAATCCCATTCAGCCCTATCATAAGCCTTGCTCATATTTGTGTTCAAAGATAATTCATTCTTCTTACCCTGTTTCTTCCTTTTCAAACAATGAAAAGCTTCACGCACCACAATAATATTGTCTTGAATCAATCTCCCCTTCGCAAATGCACAATGATTTTGAGAAATCAACTTTGGCATAATCCTCTTCATTCTATTTGTCATTACTTTAGCAATCACCTTATAACAGAATTAAATTACACAAGCTGATAGGCCTCAATTACCCAACATTCTCAGGTTTATCTACTTTAGGAACCATGACCAAATCAGTTTTATTAATTTCCTGTAAACCCACACCACCCTCCAAACACTTCCTTACAACCTCGAAAAACATATTACCCACCCCATCCCAAGAAAATTGATAAAACTGGCCTGAAAATCCATCTGGTCCAGGCGCCTTCTGTCCAACAAGTTGGAAGCATGTCAATCTCACTTCTTCTTTGCTCACTGGTTGTGCTAATCACAAATTATCATCATCATCAACACATTTATCCATATAGCTAAGAGCCAAACCCATATCCCTTTGTTTGGAACTTGAAAACAGCTACTGGTCAAAATTTGCAAATTCAGCAGCAATCAAAGATTCATCTTCAATCCAGTCATCATCACCTTTTTTTAAGTCTTAGAATCTTATTCCTTGCTCTTCCTCTAATTGTCAGCAAATGAAAGAATTTGGAGTTTGAGTCACCTTCTTTTAACCACTGAACTCTAGCTCTCTGCTCCCAATATTTCTCTTCCCATTACCAAACCTCGTCCATTTCAAAAATTATTTTTTCCAATTTCAACAGCCTTCTCTTCTGTTAATACCCCTTCCTTACAGTACTCTTCCAACCGATTCATTAGATTTTCAATTACTTTTCTATTATTTGGAAAAGTGCTCCTGCTCAACTTTATTAATGATCAGAAGCTCCAAAATATATTGTGTCGGCTCAACTCAGATGATTGAAAATAAAATATAAGAATTTGAAATTTGATTGAGTCTCAAAACTTTGATTTTGTGCAAAGAAATAGATTCAAGTTTTAGCTAGGTGAAAAACGCTTTGCTGCAATCAACATCTTCCAGAATAGCACTGATTGACGAGTAGTCATCTGATGTTGAAATCACCACGTGATGAAAGACACTAAGATATTATAACATTTACAGTTGTGCAGAATGATTAAACAACTGTAAAGCATGAAATTAAAAAATGGTTAGTGGTATGAAATTTCAAAATTTGATTCATTTTTTGCTCCTTTTGTGTGAGTGGCTTCAATGTTCCTAATCTTTCTCACCAACATCTTCTCAACAGAAAAGGGTTTTGTTGGTCTCGATGACCTATAATCCTAAACTACAATATTTACTGGTTCTCATAACCTAAAAGTCTAGGACTATCTCTCTCCTGCTACTATAAGATGTTTTAGGCTCTTATACGTAGATTAAAAACAACTTATATAAAATTATTTGTTCAAAAACATTCAAGCATTCCAATTATACCATTCATCTTTGATTTTTGCGAAAGATATTATAAAACATTAGCTCAAGATATTATAAAACTCTGTGTAAGATACTATAAAAATTTTAGGAGTAAAAATGGAAGATCATTTGATATTTTAACACCTTATAAATTGGACTAACTTTATCTTTGAGAAGACACCTTATATAGGGGACTAGATAAGATGCATGCATGAACCGAGTCCAATTTGATTTAACTGTACTAATCACAACTTTAGTACCATTTTATACAAAAGTTTTAATATTTATTGTTTTGCATATTACCTTGATTTCCCTCTTGATAAAATGGTGTTATTTTCCATCTATTTGTCTTCCAGAAAGTAGACAGGGCCCACGAGTTATACCTGCTCCAACTGAAGACCTTTTTTCCCCTCGATCTTGACGAGTCCACTTAAAAGGCATGGATCCTTCCACAACAGCTTTTGGAATAGAAACAGTAAAAAGATGAATTTTTCCTCTTAAGAAGCAGAATGAAGGTTAAAAATTCTCATGGAGGAAACAAAGTTCTTCACCCTCTTCTTTCTTGGCACTTCTTTTTGTTTGATATCCTTGTTTCCAACAGTTTTGAAAGCAAAGGATTCCATAACTTCAACGCATTCCATCACTGATAGCCAGACACTAGTTTCCTCTGGTGAAAAATTTGAACTTGGTTTCTTCAGTCCTGGCAATTCCAGTTTGAAATATCTGGGAATATGGTACAAGTATATCCCAAAGCTTACTGTTGTTTGGGTTGCAAACAGGGACAATCCACTTGTGAATTCTACTGGCACTTTAAAATTCAGCAATGACGGTAAGCTTATCATTCTCAGCCATACAGGAGGTATCATATGGGCTGCGAACTCATCCAGATCAGCAAGGAAACCAGTAGCTCAGCTTCTAGACTCTGGAAATTTCGTCTTCAGAGATCTTGAAGATGAAAGCTCTGAGAGCTACAGATGGGAGAGTTTTGATCATCCAACTGATACATTTATTCCGGGAATGAGACTTGGTTGGAACTTCAAAACTGGGTTGAACAGACATTTAACCTCTTGGAAAAGACATGATGATCCTTCTTCTGGAGAGTATACGTATAGTGTGGATCCACGTGGCCTTCCTCAGCTTCTTCTTCTTAAAGGGAAAGAGAAGGTCTTCAGAAGTGGACCATGGTTTGCACAACAACTCAAAGGTGACCCAGCTCTTATGGAAAACCCAGTTTTCAAACCTGTTTTTATTTTTGATTCTGATGAAGTGATTTTCACGTATGAAGTTAAGGACAGTGTCACTTCAAGATTTGTACTTACTCAATCTGGTATGATTCAGCACTTCTCGTGGAGTGATCCTCATTCCAGTTGGATCCCAGATTTTACAGTTCAAGGAGATCGCTGTGATGATTACGCCATTTGTGGTGCCAATGGTAGTTGTGGCATAAAAGAATCCCCAATTTGCAAGTGTTTGGATGGATTTGAGCCAAGACTACCTCAAGATTGGCGGAAATATGAATGGTCAGGTGGATGTATTAGGAAGGATTCTCAAACTTGCAGAAATGGAGAGGGATTTAAGAAACTTACAGGAGTGAAACTACCAGATTCTTCTGTGTTTCACACAAACTCAACCATGAGTTTTGAGGAGTGTGAGGCAGAGTGCTTGAAGAACTGTTCTTGTGTAGCTTATGCTAAACAAGATATTAATACAACCGGCAAAGGATGTGTTTGTTGGTTTGGCAGCTTATTCGATATCAGAGAGGTTGCAGATTATGGACAAGATCTCTACATCAGAGTTCCAGCTTCAGAACTAGGTAAGAAATTTGAGGATATAGTCCTGAGTAGGGTTACAGATACTCTAGTTCTTCGATTTTCTTAGGCCAAGCTTTAACACATATAGATATTCTAATATCTGCATATTGTTGTTAGGTTCAAATGCTCATGTCCCGAAAAGAAAGAAACATATAATAATTATTGTGGCTGTATCAGTGGGTTCAGCAATTGTTGTCTTGGTATCATGGCTCATAATTAAGAGATGGAGAAGGGAAGGTAAATTATCTTGTATTTTCAGAAGGTTTTGTTCCTTTTTTTTTTTTTTGCTATTAATTCTGCAATATTTATTTTTATTGACTTGTCCTTATTTTCTATTTTTTGAGGAGCTATAGAGGCAGAAATTCAACTGGTACTTAACAGATCTAGAAGTGAACTCCCATCATTCAAGATTGACATTATTGAAGCTGCAACAAAGAACTTCTCTGTCTGCAATAAGATCGGAGAAGGTGGATTTGGTCCTGTATACAAAGTAATTCACTACTTCTCTTGGCTAATTATCTAACAATTAACATTTCAATCAATGACACGAAACTAAAGACTTCCAATAATGTAATGCACAATTTATAGAATGCGAAATTCAATTCTTCCACTGAATAGATTATTTCAGGAGGTAAGTCAGCCTTTCACCATATTCTTAGAGGAGATTATATATTCTTCAGGATCAACAGTTTAGCAGATTGAAAAGTATACAATCATAGAAATTTAGTTAGATAATTGAATTTTCACTATATATTTCTAATTGTATTTTTGTATAATGAGACAAAGTACTCTGCTATCGCTTTACATATAACTACTATAACTCTTCATACACTCTTCACAGGACGTATTCTGATATAATCCATTAATTTCTGACAATAGTTCTGCAGTCCAGATATCCCAAGTTCCTGGTTTCTCCATACATTCCAGAGTTCCCAGTTCCTAAAAAGTAAAAATTTGTTCTCTCTGTTTTCCGTCACACATTGATCAATGTGGGAAATTTCAGGGTAAACTAGCATCAGGACAAGAAATAGCTGTGAAAAGGCTATCTGAAAGTTCAGGACAAGGCTTGCAAGAGTTCAAGAATGAGGTTATTACAATATCCCAACTTCAACATCGAAATCTTGTCAAACTTCTAGGTTGCTGCATTCATAAAGATGACAGAATGTTGATCTATGAGTACATGCCAAATCAAAGCTTAGACTCCCTGCTATTTGGTTAGCCTCTTAAATATTCAACACACGCATCCACATATCAATGAACATGTTTACTGAATCACTAAGATACTGTCTCACATGTATAATGTGATGAAACAGATGAAACAAAACGCTCTACACTCACCTGGCAGCAGAGACTGGACATTATTGTCGGAGTAGCTAGAGGAATCCTTTACCTGCACAGAGACTCAAGACTCAGAATAATTCATAGAGATTTGAAAGCCAGCAATGTTCTTTTAGATAGTGAAATGAATCCAAAAATTTCTGACTTTGGAATGGCAAGAATGTTTGGCAGAGATCAAACTGAAGCAAAAACCAATAGATTAGTTGGAACCTAGTATGCACAGAGAAAAATGACCTATTCAAAAATATTTCTTCTCCTTAACACCACAATTGCTAAAATCAAATTACCTTTTTGTAATTGTTGCAGTGGATACATGCCACCAGAGTATGCAATAGATGGCCACTTCTCATTCAAATCTGATGTCTTCAGCTTTGGTGTTTTGCTATTAGAGCTGTTGAGCGGCAAGAAAAATAAAGGATTTTTCCATCCAGATCACAAGCTGAACCTCCTTGGCCATGTGAGTAAAATAGTGAATCAATATTTAGTACTTCAAAACAATTCTTTTACCAGAAACAATGATTTTGTTTGAACTGTATAGAATATTTGATCTTGGCAAGATTATGTAGCATCATTGAAGCACCTGAAACTGTTATGAAATGTGTCAGGCATGGAAGCTTTGGACTGAAGAGAATGCATTGGAGCTGATGGATACAATACTTGAGAATCAGTTTCCTGCATCAGAAGCTCTGAGGTGTATCCAAGTGGGACTTTCTTGCGTTCAACAGAACCCAGAAGATCGACCAACAATGTCACAAGTGCTTCTGATGTTAGACAGTGACACTGTCTCGCTGCCCCAACCTGGACGACCAGGAATGTATTCAGAGAGATATTTCTCTGAAACAGATTCATCATCACTTGCAGGAGTCAATTCTTGTTCCAATGACACAAGCATCACCTTACTGGAGGGTCGTTAAGCTTTTGTCTCTGAAAATGGCTTGTGAGACAAACGTGCAATAGAATCTGCTGCTTGAAATAAAATTAAGCTTATGATAACAATCATGCATTGTTGCAGGAGAATGCTTCGTATAATGAATGTGTGTTTGATCAATCAAACCAAAATCAATTTTCAGGGATAAAATTCTCCATCACATCAGGATAAACAAGAGGAAAATTCATCAAAGAATTTTGTACATAGATCCAGAGGTAAGAAAGAGTTTGAGTAAAGTAATATAAATAAAGTATTTCTCTCTTTCTTTCCAATTTTCATAGCATAAAAATGAACAGAGCGGATACTCTCCATTCAGCCTTTGAATGCAGTCAAGGGCCGTTAAAACCGTTCCTTTATTCTAAAAATGAAGGAATGTGTTCAAAAAAAATTGAAAGAAGTTAAATATTTTTTAAGCAAAATCGACGATAGAAGGAGAACTTTTCACAGAATCATATAGAAACGGGCAATTGGTGCAATGGAGAGCAAAATTTGATTGCCGTTCAAGAATCTTTTCACAGAATGCAAGAATCAACTATATTTTCTGCACCATCAAATGTATTGCAAACAAAGACAACCTCACTGTTGGGCAAACCATTAAGAACCGACGTTTCGGTACGTTTATATCAATATTAAATGAAACAGAAATTATAAAACGAAGAGAGAAAAACCCTCGATTGTAGGAAAAAATAACCTTTTTACCCCATGTTTCTTCATGCGCCGTCATGATTCTCTCTCCATTCGGTGATTTTGTCTACTCGAGCAAGGAAGTAAACTCCCTCAAAATTACAGGACGGCTAAGGTGGGGTGAAAGATAATTGATAGATTAGAAGTTCTTTAGTTATGACATTCCCTACCAATTATAATAATATTTTAGGCTAAAAAATATCAAATTTTCTTGAATTTAAGTTGTTGTACATAACTCTTTTTAAGTTTATTTCTCCATTATAAATTCTTCTAATATTATTTTTTAATTATTTTACTAGCAAAAATTATCATATCATATTAACAAAAAAAAAAAACATATAACAACTTATATAATATTCAATGTAAGTTAATAATAGATTTATGAAAATATTATTCATATTTTTTTATTATTATTAACATATATTAGATGTCACATAAATTGTCTGTTTTTTTTTTAAATATGATATGACAAGTTTTATTAATAAAATAACTAAAAAATAATTGGAGAGGCATCTGCAGTCAAAAAAATAACAAAGATAAAAATTAATTTTAAACTACTAAAGATAAAAGCATTGTTTCAAAAAAGTTTTATATATTCCATCTATATTTTATAAGTTATTTATAAATTATTTCTAACATTATGAATCATAATTTCTTGAATGTATATACTTAGCACTAGTCAAAAACTTTTAAAATACTTAAATAGCTAGATTTTTTAAAATGTAACATACGGTGCATTCAATTTGACGTCTTATACATAAGAACTTGCTATTAGAATTATTTTATTTGATGCACCGCTATTAGAGTTCTTGGTTAATAATTAATTAATAAATTCATTCAAGTTAAGTAAAATCCTAAATCTAGATATTTTTTTATTCAAAAAAGAATAGATTTATTAATCACCCAAAAAAAAATATTACACTCACCAAGAATTAAAAACAAAAAAAGAAACACTAGGGAAAAAAATCTACGAGTACAAGCTAATATACACAAGAAAAAAAAAACAAATTAACACAACAAAAAACCAGAAAACAATCGTCCAACAACCCAGAAACAAACAAAAATGAAAAAAGAAACAAAGCAGCAAAAAGCCAATCAATCAATATCGCTCCTATCACCACAGCCTCCATCCAAGTTTTGCCTTATCAGTTCCAAGGACGCATTTCCTTGGAAGCATTTATTGCAACCAACTTAGCAGTTCTATTCAGAGATCTAGGAATCAACAGAGTGAATTGAAACATTCCTCAGCTCATCAAGCATATTCAAGACATCTGCAGCAATCATCTAGCTCTTCCACTCACACAGTTTAACCTTCTTACCTGCAAGACAATTAGCCAAATTTTCACAGTCAGTAAAAATAACCATGTCTATATTACCACAGTTAGTACCACACTCAAAGCTTTACTTAAAGGCATTCCCTCTGTTGCAAAAGCAGAAGAAACAAATACTCTACCAACAAAAGCATCTACCATTCCACCATCTTTATTTTGAATTATTACTCCAATACCAGCTCTATCCTTCTTATTGCTTTATGAACCATCAATATTGATTTGCCTATCAGAATCAGTCACATCAGTCTGAATCACCATATTTGACCTTCTCTTCAAACTCTGCAAACCACTTTCTCAATCAGCTTCACAGCATCAGCAATCACCTAAGCCGGTGAAAAACCATATTGCATCTTTTTTTTCCACATACACAAGCAAATAGTTGCAAGCATAGCCTTTTCATAATCCCCCAAACAACTTCCCTTGCTAATCCACTCCCATAACCACTTGTCAAAGCAAGAGGACAGACAAATTGCCAGATGATGAGACTAGAATATAAAATGGATCATAAACTCCAAATTTGCATTAGAGTATTGAGTACAATTACAATGTAAAGAGACTCAGAAAGCATAATACAAGGACACGTGTAATGATACGTATACAAGAATTCTTAACCACTCAACTAATCTCATAACAAACTTAGCTTTGAATATTGACCATAACTGACTAAAGAGTCTAATTTCCACCTGCTACGATTTCTTAGGGTAAAAAATTACATATTATCATCAAGATCACAATCATTGTCATTGGTTCTGATGTAGGAAACAACATCCTCTTGACCCATAATGTTCTGAAGTACGCAAATGAAGCTTTGCCAAAGGCTTTGTCAGAATATCAGCGCCTGTTCATAGGCAGGAGCATAACCAATTTGTATCATTCCAGAAGCGACCTTTTCACGCACAAAGTGCAAGTCCAATTCAACATGTTTAGACTTGAAGTGAAGCACAGGATTGGCTGCAAGCGCAACAGTTCCTGAATTATCACACCAAACCAATGGTGGAGCAACAGTTGAGACATCAAGTTCCTTAAGTAAAGCAGACACCCACATAAGCTCAGTCACTGCATCAGCAACACTCCTACATTCAGCTTCAGTTTTGGAGCGAGAGATCACTTGCTGTTTTCTAGAAACCCAAGTAACAGGGTTAGGTCCCAAATAAGTGCAGAAATAAGTAACATAGATAGGTCCCAAACTCTTCTAACCCAATCACACTTCAATAAATAATGCTCAAAAGTCTCAGCCTCCCGCTTACAAATTGAGCAGATTGGAGTAACTTCAACATTTCCTCTTGCACAAGGAATCACAAGTTGCCATGCCATTATTGATTGCCCTCCAAAGAAAATGTTGAACCTTTGGCAATGTTTTCAATCTCCAGACACTAATCCATTTATCTTCAAGGATCATAAAAGAACAACTCGCTTTTTCCTTTCCACCTGCCTTCTTTCCCATTTTGATTATATCATACCCCAACTTGACTTCATAGCATCCATTCCTACTTTTGTGCCACTGCAATTTCATCCTCGTTCCCTAAGTTTGACAGAGGAATTTTCTTTATAGCATCAGTCAAGGTACGTGTCGCTTTACCTCTTAATCTCTCTAGCATCCACCTCCCTTCTTAATCAACTCAGACACACCATTCCACTTTCACAATCAGTAACAATGGCAAATTGCTTCAAATTCACCTCAGGCACCCACATATCTATCCATATCTTGATCCTCTTTCCATCCCCAATCCTCCATGCCATATCTAATCAAATCCCTTCCTTCAAGCAAGCTAGACCAACCCAGGATGCTCTTTCTTATATTTTAGCCTCTAAAAAAAATCAGATTTAGGGAAATATAATCCCTTCAATGTTTTCATCTACAAAGCATCAGGATTGTTCAGTGCCCTCCAAGTAGCTTTACTGAGCAAAGCTAAATTAAAGCCAAAAAAATCTCTAAACCCAAGTCCTCCAACATACTCAGGTTTAGTTAATTTCTCCCAACCATCCAATATATCCCATCACTCTCTCAATTTCTATTCCACCTGAACTTTAAAATTAAACTATCAAATTCTTGACAAGTTTTTTTTTTTGGAATTTAAAACAGGACATGGGAAAAATAGGCGCTGCATTTGCCACTGCCTTAATCAAAACTTCCTTATTAGCTTGAGTGAGATACTAATGCTTCCAACTTCGTATCTTCATCGCCATCTTTTCTCTAATGAATGCCAATGCCTTAGTTTTAGCTTTGTCCCGTATCATTGGCACAGTAAGGGTAAAGGCTTTTTACAATAATTAAAAATACATTTTTACATCAGTTCCTAAGGCGATATTCATTCAAGGGATGTATATCGATTTTACAACTGTGAGTCTAAAACCAATGTAAAAAGTCATTTAATATTAAAAAAATGAATCAATACTCCACTTTCTACAACGGTTATAAATACAACTGATGTAGAAATTGATTTTATTCATATATATATAATTAATATGTTTCTATACATTAACCCATCCCTAAACACAAAAATAACCAGCCAAACTATACAATTCATATAAAATTTTCAATCAAACTACACAATTTGTTTTAATTATCTAAAACTATCAACTATCCAATATAATTCATATAAAATTTGCAACAATTAAAATTGTCACAATCAACTTTTCAAAACTTTCCACAAGGTATCCAGAACTTGTCCAAAAACAAACTTTTTAAAATTGTACAAAACTATCTAAACTCAAACTCTCTACAAAGTAAGTTGCCAAGCATACGTGGATGTCTTCAATATCTTCTTCAAGGAATGAATCCACATTGTCAAATATTTGAAATATAATTTGCAATAAAACATTAATTAACTAATTTCAAATAACATAATAAAATAAAATTTTTAAAAACATATTTACTTCAACTGTAAATTCAATCATGCCCAATGTGATATAATTCTAACCTCCATTAAACCACAACACTATCAGTTTAGTAGATGAGTTCAATAGAGACTCTACAAAATGATAGAAAAGGACACTTCCAGCATGTGGATAAACTATAATATAACTAATACTCCCTCGAGTTTTTATTGTATAAA